TTCATTAAGACATCAAATCATTATTTCTTTCTCTAAACACGCTTTTTTGAGACTGATTTTTTTGTTTCTTTGGTCTCCTTATATAGTTTATGCTGGTCTAGAACTCACTATGTAGCTTAGTCTGGCCTTCCAACTCAGTACAGTGCCCCTGCTTCAGCCTCCTCAGTGTTCTCCATGCCCAGCTTGAGTTTCTGATATTTTTAGTGAAAGTAAGCAGAAGAGAAATCCCACTTCCATCAACTAAAGGCAACCATAAAATATGCTTACTAAAGATGAAACTGTAGTTTTGGATCCTACAGGAAGTATTGCTTGTTGAGGGTACTGGCCTGAAAAGTGGCTTTCTTTGGTAGAAAGGAGAGTTTCAGAGTGAGAGATGTTACCAAGATATGATAGAACCAAAATGTGCAAGACTCCAGGCAGGGTCCTGACTTAATATGTATGTTGAAGTTCTCTAAAGGTTTTTTCTCTGTGCTGACTATAGGCTATTCTTTCATTTCTCCACTCGCTCTCAACCTTTAAATTTCTACCCAGGTTTCATGACCAGTTCTTATGCTTCCTTCTCAATAAAGCCTTCTTTGAGTTCCCTGGGCTGGTGGTTCTAGGTGCCGGCAGTTCCCCTATGGGGATCATTTGCTATGTTCCAAGGTGGTTTTAGTCATCTCAACTGGAGAGAGGGGATGTTACTGGCATCTAGTAGTTGAGGCCAGGGATACCGGTACGTATGCTGTAGTGCACAGGACTACCCCCCGCCCCAAATGATTATAATAATCCATGATATCAATGGTACCATATCTGAGAACTCTGCCTGAGGAGAATGTACTTCCTACATTTGCCTTCTTTGCCATGGCTTTTAGTATAATACCTATGTAGATACATGTTTAATTTATTAGAGTACAAGCTCTTTGTTAGAAGGAAACATATATTTCTCCACACTGTTGAACACTCAAAAATGAATGGCTAAGAGAAGCAAATGCGTTAGAAAACTTGTAGTACAGATCCATTTAGTGGTAATGTAGCTTAACATTTTTAAAAGAACCTCATAAAATTTGGGGAATATTTTAGTTCTAATTTTTGTCCAGTTATAAAATCTTGAGCTTGGACAAAACTTTAAATGTGCTCCAGTCTAACTGCTTTTCTTTACTAAGGGACTCCTTTGATTTTTTAAATACTGAATTGAAATTCAATTGTAATCGTCCTCAGGTGCTAGACTGTGAAATTGGTATTTCCTTATTTAGACATTATCAGAATATATGGCAGGCTTCTGTGCATGGATATATACTATGAGTATGAATTCAATAAGAATATTAATTGCAGAAAAAGTTGCTAGATGATCTCGATAGTTCTTTTCAACCCCGAGGATCAGTGATTTCAATTGTTACTTTCCCTAACATATTTACTTACTGAGTAAGGTGAAAAGAGACTGAATGATGTGTTTCTTCTGCATAAATATTTGGTTTATTAATTTCTCATTAGCTCAGAGGTATTTAGATCTGCTATATCCAATAAACTCCTAACCATTAATTACTTAATCTGAAGGATACCTTTGATTTTTTATATAAAGATTAATGTATTCTAATTATAACCTCTCTGTTGAACTCTTGTGAAACTTTCCCCCTCTCATTAGAATCTGATCATTAGTTGCCTTCTCATGTGTGTATGTATACAATCACACACACACACATCAGATTGCACAGACTTTAAGGATAAAAGTGTTTATATATATAT